CTTCAGGCCATTCCATATAGATATTGTAAACAACTTCCTCACACAACAAACAACAGCAAACAACTATCACACGCTTACACTTTCCAAATCTCTCAAAACTCGTAGCGTAATTAACTCAAGAAAATATAGTGCTTTTCTGGCTACTGTAAAATAGTGTCAATCCTCAGCATTATTGTTTCGTTCTGATAGTGGGGTTCCTTGTATTTTCGCTCCACTTTGCTCGGGTCCAGTTGGATCTCAGGAATTTTTCTTTGTATTTGTTCGTTCTTTGTATCAACAATAATAACCAAGTGGAGGAGTATTTTCACAAAAACAGAGGAATGTTATTGTAATAAAAACATCATGATTTTCAACAAAAATAAAAATATTCTAAATTCAAAACTGAAACATTTTATATACAGAATCCTGACTCGCATTGATCGACAGACACTATCAGGCTCTGACGGCGTGACGACACCGCCACGACATTGTCCCTGTGTGGCTACAAATCACGCCACTAATGTCCCTAATATTTTCCTCCGAAGGTCGTTCTGCCGACGTGTTCTGCTGGGAATACAATCTTTCCAAATATATTTTTGCCAAAAATCCATGTATTATGTTACTTCATTATGTTCCACGATTATTTCTACGTATTTTGGTCAAATCGTACAAATGTGGTTCTAGGGATAGGTAAACAAAAAGGTTTCCCCATTGATTTACAATTATATGGATGTCGGGTCCGCGCTAAAAAGTGTCCGAACTTATAGGTCGTTAAAATCGTATACAGAGCGTCATTCACGCTTTAGCCTTCGTTTGTTCGACTGACAGCGAAGCATGCAAAATTAGACAGTACTGCGATGACATTACAATTTAAATTCAACGTTTTAGCTTTTTCATATTCCTTTACATGTCACTACGTTTAAATAGGTTGACTTGGGACATTTTTTTCGTGGTTTTTGTATTAGACCCGTCGTCCATTTATTTGTAAGTCAATGGGTTTCCCCTTTATTTTTCAACTTCATCCATTAATACATACATATTTTACATCAAGGCTATGAAGTTTGATTGTTAACTGTGTTAAGTAGGTACTACAAAAGGCAGATAAGCCTACGATGAATGAATAGCAACCTCAAGTGGATGCTGTTTAAAATGTTAAACATTGAATTTATGTCCATCAACCATCTCCACATTTCTGTGGTCATTATATAATACATAGTATTGACACATTGCTCGTCGCGGATCTCATTTATGGAAAAGATTTGGGCCTTGGTAACTTTGATTTCAACATGACAACAGCCTCCGTAACGTAACAGTCACCTCTTACGGTTCGATACCCGGGCCGGGAGAAATATTTGTATGGCCTATATTTATTTCTCTCGTGAGTTTTGGTGTAATTTGTGGTTGTCTACGTAAGTGTGTGTCCATAGCACCCGTGACACAGGGTTTCTCTAGTGCGGGGCTATGAGTGTGTGCGTTATTATTATAATTTCACAATTCTTCAAAGAATATCAAAACTTCTTCAACACGCAGTAGCAGTAGTAGTTACCTTACTTTACTTATTTCTGGCGCCAAGCAGTAATGTGAGCATTACATTTCGGTTTTAATGGGTACTGGTGAAATTGAAGGCAAGACAAGAGTTTTCAATATTATGTTTCAGGGTAACGGGCACAGTAACAGTGCTCCTCAGATCTGCGCGATTTAAAGCTCTGAGCGGCATTGCAACTGTTATGGATATCGTGTCGCTTACCGACAGGAGCACGACTTGTTCATCACGTGACTAGGTATCATAAAAATAACGTAGGTTTTCTCACTCTCAATAATATACCACATCAATTATCTGCTCTCAAACTTATTCCTTGTACTATGAGTACCAGAGTAATGGGATTCACTTCGAGACACTACCCAAAACCCGGAACCTCTTAATCCAGCGCCCATAATGTAAACTGTTGGGCCAAATCGTGGTTCCATTATTCGAAAAGACTGTGATATAGTCGTAAGCCTGGATTTGAACTCTTACCTTCATATACAGAAGGACAACGTTCTCCCAAATAGAATTCTCTTTCTTTAATACCTCATCTTAACCATTATTATTGCTACTGTACTGTATAACAAAACTTTATTAACCGTGTAATAGTCATCCGATTAATGGTTACACAGTCTCTCGAACGCGCCTTAATTCCAAACATTATTCCCAAAATTGCCTATAAAACCGAGATAAATTCGAAAAGATTAACGTAAAGTTTTTTTATTTCTCACTTTGAAGGTATAATGCAATGAAAGGAAGTCATATGCGAAGGTTATAAACCATTTTTCACGGCGACCCTTGCATGTCTTTTGTGAATACTTTCCCTTAAGTTTCTAGTCGATTTAGGCGTCGATATATATCCCTACCCGATTCTTTTGAATAGTTTTTAGAAATATGTCCTTTGTACCTATTCATAACAAAGCCTCTGTAAGAATGAAAAATTATTAATATATTTAGTAGCAGTAGAGCTTGTTGTGAAAGAGTTCGTCCAAAGAACTACTGCCAGCCACTGTACCTATTTCTGCCGCCAAGCAGTAATGGGACCATCGCTGCGTTCCAGTTTTGAAAAGGTTCTGGTGAAATCACAGGCACAAGGGACTTGTCAACTTATATACAGGTTGTAATCGTTAAGTGTACCCAGGTGATTATTCCGTATAAGAGGTATTAAAAACCTTTATACTAATATAGAAAGTATCTTACCTAATGACAAGAACGACATCAAAATCTCAGTACAGCGTACTAAAAAACCGACCTCTAAAGTTCGTGGAGTTACATCTATTTGCCAAGTTTTATTGGTTACCGGAAAATGCGCAAAACCGGATTCAACCCTAGTTTGCCACTCTTAAAGGTGGAATATTTTCTTTTAATTTAAATGGGACAACTACTGAGGTACCCTCTTTCCAACAAAAAATGAATCATCAAAATTCTCAAATTAAATGAGTTTCGCGTAATATACATACAAAAAAGACGAATTGTAAACCTTACAGAATACATTTGATATGATCGAGAGGAGTTTCTTTACTTTGAGAGGTAACAATAACATTTACAGATAACGAAACTGCTATAAATAAAGTAACAAAACTACATTACAATTGAATAGAAACAAAGTAATATTTATTTTCAAGTAAGTACATACACACAATACAATACACACAAACACACACACACACACACACACACACACACACACACACACACACACA